GTTGTAATTAAATTTTCACCATGATTAAGAGCACATCTAAATCTCCAAGGTTTCACATGACATAAAACAGGTTTTTACTTTTGTGCCTGTATAAATAAAACATTACTACAAAAACACTGAAGGTCACACACCTGTCTTGCTGCAGCAATCTCTGTCAACATAAATGACCTCTGGCTCTGGCTCCCCAGCATCCTGGTATATTTTTTGTATGTTAATTTTGTGTTATCAATAACTGTAATACTACTAATCAATGACCATCGGTCAATAAGAACATTTGTCAAAGGTGTCCGTAATGCAAGCAAGCTAGCTACACCGCTGTGTTGTCTTCATGTTCACATTGTCTTAATTTTCGCACACACTATAAACATTAGCCAGAAAATACTAAATAAATAATGTATATTTAAAAAATATCTTTGTAAATACACATTAGATTTGTTCATTAACAGTGGGAAAGGTGTCAGTCTGACAAGATTATAAGGACAACTGTGGAGATGCGTACATTGATACTGTTTATCTGGTTATCGTGGCACCTGTCAGTGGGTGGGATATATCAGGCAGCAAGTGGACATTTTGTCTGCAGAGTTGATGTGTTAGAAGCAGGAAATATGGGCAGCTTGAGGATTTGAACAACTTTGACAAGGGCCAAATTGTGATGATGACGACTGGGTCAGAGCATCTCCAAAACTGCAGTTTTTGTGGGGTGTTCCCGGTCTGCAGTGGTCAGTACCTATCAAAGTTAATGCTGGTTCTGATAGAAAGGTGTCAGAACACACAGTGCATCACAGTTTGTAATAATCTTATGGTTGATTGTGTGTGTGTGTGTGTGTGTGTGTGTGTGGCGGGGGGTGTGATACACACATACATATACATATTCATGCAAAGTGAAGGTACTGAAGAAATGCAAACATAAATAAAGCAGAAAGCAGTAAACAAAAAGGTGTGCTGGGGTTCCTTCACTTTGTGAGTATGCATATTTCTGTATGTGTGTATATATATGAAAGAGAGAGAGAGTGACCCCAAATTGGATGAATTAATAATATATAGCAGTATATTATTTGTGAACTTCTTCTGAATTTTTACTGTTCATATAAATATATATCATATATATTTATATATATGATATATATACATAGAGATGTATATATAGAGACATATATATATATATTGAAAAACATTAACTTTAACCTCTTTTTTTTTAATTTTTCATAAAGTTGTTAAAAACAGAGGGCTCAAAATTTTGATTATCATTGATATACTGGTGTATTATAGTAGTGGACAGTAAATGTCAGTGTTTACATACAGTAGTTCACTACCTAATGTTACCACTAGATGGTGTTAAGCCATCAGTGTTGCTCCTTGGAAAAAGCAATATGATGAACCTTTTAACCATTTCCACCAAGTTATATAAACACTCATTGTTTTATTGTGCTTTTTGTGACAGTTTCTAAAAATCAACTGATCTCACTGTATGTTAAATCTGTTCAAAGTGATAAACAGTTATGACTTGCAGCGAGTTTATATTAGACATCGTTCATCTATGTAGATCATACTGGCCGTTCGGCTCTATGATTAAATGTAGCTAAACTTCAGTCCCTTACCAATCAAGGAAACACATGGTGTTGTATCTAAACATAATTCACAGTAATTTTGACAAAATGTCACTGCTTTGTCCTTGAAATACCGAATGTGTGAATTTCCCCAGTGTGGGTTCAATAAGCTCTATCTTACTCCTCGAAGATTTAGAAGCGAATCAATAGAGGAGCATGTTCCTGTCAGAGATTATTCCTGGAAACAGAGACAGCAGAAAACAGAGGCAGAACAAAGTGTAAATCTTGATCTTTTATTAATTCAAATTATATATCAGTATTCTTTTATCTTTAATGCCTACTAGGTTGCACCTGCAGAGAAGCTCTTAAGCGTACCATGCAAAGCCATTCCACTTTAGCTGTGAGACCTTTCAGATTTTATGGCAGTGACCCACCAGCTCACCTTTGAAGCTGTGGTCAATAAACTCAGTGCTTTTAATGCTGTTGAAAGCTCCAGTCTTGTAGTAGCACACTGTTAAAGTGGCAAGCTTTTAGCCAAACCACCTCAAAGATAATTGCTACTACATTGTCAGATGAATGGAGACGGATATATGTCGGGCAGTGAGAGACCACTCCCTTCCCTAATCAGTGAGAACTGATCACTTAGGGAACAGTCAATGTACCATTACCGCAAATAGCCAAGGGCATGTGAACTGCACATAATCTTCTTCCAGTCTTATTGATGCTGCAAATGTGAAAACCTTTAAAATGCACTTGTGTTTTCACATCGTATTACATTAGAACTTAAAACTGACAAAGTCCTGAGAAGATTTATTTACCCTCTGTCTTCTGATCCATTCCGAACCCTTTATGTTATTTCAGTGGTGAGGGTGGAGAGACACATCCCCGACTTTTATAAAAATATTCTTTGACTTTTATTAAAGAGAGAAAAGTTGTTGCTTTAATTGTCATAAAAGTATCTGTTGGAGACCTCATCTACCAGTCTGATAAAGCACTGTCCTTTCTCCTTGAATTCCTTATGGCTTTATGAGCAAAGTCATATACTGATTGAAAATAACTGCCGGCTACATACTCACTGCCCATTTTGATGCCTCATGTTCAATGATTTCAAAACTTGCACTCTTCCCATGCAGTTTGATACATGTTCAGTATTTTTTTTGTTTTGTTTAACCTTATTCTTCAGCAGAGTCAGGTGTAAAATACATCCTATTTCGTTAAAAAAACTAAACCCCACCCCACCTAAAAAATAAACATTTATGTCAAGACTCGAATGTTGAAACAACTAACAGTAGCACAGCGGCAGACGAAATGCAAAATGATCAACAACATCAGATTATACAAGAATACAGTCAGTACACTGGTTAGAACATAGCAGTACGCAACTAATCAATACTGAACACAGAAAAGTGAGTCTTAATACATACTGTATATATAGATATATATAGGAAGGCAGATTTGCTTTGGAGAGAACAAAGCCACTCTCATCCTCTATGTTAGGACTTTTACAATAGCACTTTTTCTCTGTACAGAACTGCTCCTTGAGTTTTGAGTGACAACCCGGAGGAGACCACCCATTAGCCACGGCAGATTTAACTCAATTGACACTGGGTTGCTGCAGGGCAAACACATGCTATTCCTTGATGATCTGGCAGTTCAGTGTGTGCTATTCAACAGCCATAATATCTGGGTATGATTTCAGAACCTTTTGCTATTTCTGATTCTGGCACTCGGTAGCTTCTCATGCCGCCTTGAGTGGCCAGGCCTTGAAATCCGAGGGGTTTCATAACTTATCCCACGATGAAAAAGCAAGGAACAGCACATATATTTAAATTCTAGAGGGCCTAGATTCCTAAAAATGGGACAGATTATTTGCCAACTGCAACCAGTCTGCAGTAGTGCTAAATGTGGCTTTATTTAAGTGCGTCTTCTGGTATTTTTGCTGCTCTCTATTTCTCCACCTGGTATTCCTATGTGTGAGGAATGGAATGATTCACACACCACCAAGTGTGACTTCCTTTTCTCACCCACACAAGAGATGCTGTGGTGCATACTGCAAATGTGAATATAACATCAAATTTGCGTAAAAACCTATTGCACCCAAAAATTTGTACATCTGAACATTTGGGAGCTATACTGATGTTTAATTTCAAGGTGTATGTGATTTTCCATATCTATCTGTTCTTATATATATATAAGAGCATTGAGCGTTACATTTATTCTTTCTATATTCTTATGTTATACTTTCCAACTATGTGTGTTGGTTAGCAAATGTTTAGTGAAAGCTCCAGGTGTTTTCCTCATAAACAAATTACAGACTACTTAAAGGGCATCACATTCAGTGCCTGGTTGAAGGATTGCTTTTGAACTCAAGTAAGGGCAACCTCGTAATGGCAGAGGTGCACAAACAAAGCAAACACATCTGGGCTGTCAGTGTACAGGGAGCCAGAGAAAATGGCTCTGTGTTGCTGTGACTCATGATGACACACCTATCCCCTCCTGCTCAGAGACAAAGACATGGAAAGCAGTTGGAAGCTGCATCCCATCAAAAGATGCAATTAGCATTTACGCCGGGCTAGCCTTGTTGTATTATGACGCGAGTTTATTGAAATCACTCTTTCTTGTTTAGGCATAGAGACATAGTCTCCTGTTTGAAACCTTGTTAATGAAATTTGCACAACATACGAGGTGTCTTGCATGGTAAATTCAATTCACAATAGATTCAATTATAATTGTAAAAAAACAAGGGATTTTCTGAGGGTTACAAAAGGTTTCCTGTCAGTAGCTACGAACTCTAAAATCAGCCTCATCATGATTACTCATAAGCTTCATCTTCTTGAGGAATCCTGTAGGTTTCATTATTTAGCAGACTCTAATGTTTTCCTGCTAATACAACATACTGCTTTTTCTACCAACCACAGGGCTAAAACAGCTACATTTT